AGTTCCCTCACGCCGGCTGAGGAATTCTGGGAGTTGAAGTCCACAAGTCATAAAAGGGTCCTAGTTCCCTTACGCTGGCTGAGGAATTCTGGGAGTTGAAGTCCACAAGTCATCAAAGCGTCCTAGTTCCCTCACGCTGGCTGAGGAATTCTGGGAATTGAAGTCCACAAGTCATAAAGGGGTCATAATTCCCTCACGCTGGCTGAGGAATTCTGGGAGTTGAAGTCCACAAGTCATCAAAGGGTCACAGTTCCCTCACGCCGGCTGAGGAATTCTGGGAGTTGAAGTCCACAAGTCATCAAAGGGCCGAGTTGTTCGCTTGCGGTTACAGGCTGAGAAGGCCTCACCTCCCCCCCCCATCCTTCTTCTCTCCCAGCTTCCATGATCCACTGGACCCGGCAGATCAAGGACGTGCTGAGGGCCCAGGAGGCGGTGGAGAGCCGGGAAAGCTCGGGGCCCCTGGAGGAGATCGCCTTCTGGAAGAACCGCTGCACCGACCTGTCGGAGATCAGCAAGCAGCTGTGCCAGAAGGGGGTGAAGGACATTGAGGGCGTCCTGACCCTCTCCAAGTCCTCCTACGTGGCCCCCTTCCAGCGCCTCTCCCGGCAGATCCAGGTTCGGACAGGGGGGCGCCGGGGCCCTCCTGCAGGAGGATGAGCAGAGGGCATCTCCCTGATGGGGCTTCGGCCTGGCCGGCTTAGAACGCAGAACGTTGGAAGGGAGCATAGTGCTGGAGGGAGGGAGGGAGGGAGGGAAGGAAAGAAGGAAGGAAGGAAGGAAAGAAGGAAGGGATTTATCAGAAATACAGCCGTAAGCTATCCAATCTTTGCTTGAAAAACTCTAGATAGACAGATAGATAGATAGATAGATGGATGGATGGATGGATGGATGGATGGATGGATAGATAGATAGATAGATAGATAGATAGATAGATAGATAGATAGATAGATAGAGACAGACGGACAGACAGACAGACAGACAGAGAGGCAGACATAGATAAAAAGATAGATAGGTAGATAGAGATAATAGAGATAAGAAACAAAGAAAGAAAAAGAAAGAAAGAAGAAAGAGAGAGAGAAAGAAGATAGATATAATAGAGATAAAGAAATGACAGACAAGTAAAAGAAAAGAGGGAAAAAGAAAGTATAGATAGATAATAGATAATAGAGATAAGAAAGAAATGAGAGAAGGAAAAAAGAGAAAGAAAGGATAGATAATAGACATAGAATAGATTATAGAGATGATAGATAGATAGGTAGGTAGATAGATAGATAGATAGAGATAGATAGATAGATAGATAGATAGATAGATAGATAGATAGATAGAGATAGAAACATAGATAATAGAGATAAACAAAGAGAAAAAGAAAGAAAGAATGAACGAAAGAAAGAAAGAAAAAAGGAAAGAGAAAAAGAAGATAGATATAATATAAAGAAATGACAGACAAGTAAGAAAGAAAAGAGGGAAAAAGAAAGATAGATAGATAATAGATAATAGAGATAAGAAAAAAAAGAAAAAAGATAGATAAATAGGTGATAATAGAGATAAAGAAATGAGAGAAGGAAAAAAGAGAAAGAAAGGATAGATAGATAGATAGATAGATAGATAGATAGATAGATAGATAGATAGATAGATAGATAGATAGATAGATAGAATCGCATGGCTGGAAGGGGACCTTAGAGGTCCTCTAGTCCAACCCCCCCTCTCTGCCGCTGCTTTGCAGGACGGGTCGGAGCAGGCCCAGTCCAACCTCCGCTTCCTGTCCATCCTGAAAGAGCCCTTCCAGGAACTGGCCACCCTGCGCCCCAAAGACATCCCCGAGAAGCTGCCCCATCTCATCAGCCTGGTCCGGATCGTGTGGGTCAACTCCCCCTACTACAACAGCCGGGAGAGGATCACGGCCCTCTTCCGGAAGGTGGGCGCCACCGCCTCGCTTCCTGACGTTCCCTCCTTTGTTCTCTCTCTCTCCCTCTCCCTCTGTCTCTCTTTTAAAAAATATTTTTTTAAAATATTTAGAGATTTTTTTATTAATTTTTTGGGGGGGGGTCCAAACACGTTAGCTGAAATGCTTGACACAACTCAGCAAGGTTCTTAGAATGCAAATGTGCCAAATTAGGAGCAGGTTGAACTGAGTCGCTCAAGGTTGACTGTCTGGGGTCCTCGGTGCTCTCTTAGCTGGGACGTTTCATAACCCAACTAGGGAACATCATCAGTGCTAGAAGGGAAAGAGATTGGGGGGGAGAGGAGGAGGAGGAGGAGGACTGTGGGGTCTCTGGTGCTCTCTGAGCTTGCTTGTTTTCTTGCAGACGTCTCACGACCCAACTAGGCAGTGTCATCAGTGCTAGAAGGGAAAGAGATTGGGGGGGAGAGGAGGAGGAGGACGACTGAGGGGTCCTTGGTGCTCTCTGAGCTTGCTTGTTTTCTTGCAGACGTCTCATGACCCAACTAGGGAACATCATCAGTGCTAGAAGGGAGGAGGAGGAAGATGAAGATTGTGGGGTCCTTGGTGCTCTCTGAGCTTGCTTGTTTTCTTGCAGACGTCTCATGACCCAACTAGGGAACATCATCAGTGCTAGAAGGGAGGAGGAGGAAGATGAAGATTGTGGGGTCCTTGGTGCTCTCTGAGCTTGCTTGTTTTCTTGCAGACGTTTCATGACCCAACCAGGGAACATCATCAGTGCTAGAAGGGAGGGGGGGATTTACTGAATGGAGAGAGGAGGAGGAGGAAGAGGAAGAGGAGGCAGAGGAGGGAAGGAGGAGGAGAAGGAGGAGTGGGGGGGGAGGAGGAGGAGAATTGTAGGGTCCTTGGTGCACTCCGAGCTGGTGGGTTTTTTTGCAGACGTTTCGTGACCCAACTAGGGAACATCACCAGTGCTAGAAGGGAGGAGGGTTTGCTTCCTGTTTATATTTTATATATTATAAAATATAATATATAAATATATTATATTCTCTCTCTCTCTCTCCCTCTCTCTCTCTCTCTTTCCAGATGAGCAACAAAATCATCCAGATGTGCTGCAAGGACATTTCCCTGGACCGGCTTTTCGAAGGCTACATCAACTCGACCCGTCAGACCTTGCACAGCTGCATCTCCTGCATGTCCTCCTGGAAGGACTGCTACCAGCAGGCCTCCTACATGCACAATAAGTAAGCATGTCGTCTCAGGGGGCTAGTCCTCAGTGATCACGGTTTGGGCTAACTGCTCGGATTTGCATCCCATGGACCCGCGGTCACGATTTTGTGACCTCACCAGTTGATTTCTGCTGCACTGCCCTCCAAAATGTCAGTTGGGGAAAGCTGGATTCGCTTAACGGCCAGGCGATTCGCTTAACAACCGACTGACTTGCCAACAACTGTGGCAAAATGATTGTAATGGTCCCCCCCCCGTGTGGCGGTCGTAAGTGGAGGAGTCTAAGTCACTTTTTTCAGTGCCGTTGTAATTTTGAACGGTCACTAAATGAACTGTTGTAAGTCGAGGACTTACCTGCGTTCTTGAGCTTTTTCACTTGCTTTTCTGAAGTTACAACGGCGCTGAAAACAATGACTTACGACTGCTTTTCACACTTACGACCGCTCCAGCGTTTCCCACGGTCCCGTGATCAGAATTCGGACGCTTGACGACGGACTTGTGTTTATGACGGTCGCAGCATCCCTGGGGTCAAGCGATCCCCTTTTGCGAGCTTCTGACAAGCAAAGCCAGTGGGGAAGGAAGGAAGGAAGGACATAGAAAAGAAGGAAGGAAGGAGATAGAAAAGAGAGGAAGGAAGGAAGGAAGGGAGGGAGGAAGGAAGGAAGGAAAATGCATGGCAGGGAGGGAAGAGGGAAAATAGAAGGGAGGGAAGAAGAAAGGAATGAAAAGAAGGGAGGAAAGGAAGGAGGAAGAAGGAAATAAGGGAGATGAGAAGGAGGAAGGAAGGAAGACGAAGGAAGGAAGGAAGAGAAAAGGAAGGAAGGAAGGAAGACAGAAGAGAGAAAGGGAGGAACATCATAAATGGTCATAAAGGAAAGTCGTAAAACGGGACCAAACTCATTTAGCAAATGTCTCGTTTAGCAGCAGACATTTTGGAGTTCCATTGTGGTCGTAACTTGAGGACCACCCCGTATTTTTTCCCTCAATTCCCGGGCTTCTCGCAACTTGCCGAAGACGGCATTCGCTCAGGGTTTCCTTTGTGGCGAACGGGGCTTCCTCCCAACCACCGTTCCAGGCATCGTTAAACGGGTCGCCCGGCCCTGCCATAAGCAAAATCCCATCCCAGAATTTTAGGGTTTTTCCAAACTCCCCCCTCCTCCCTCCCCAGTCAACATGGACGATGTCCTGACGGTCCTGCTGCATTTACGGTTTTTCTCTGCATGGCTTTTTTTTTTCTGGTTTGGGAAGTGTGTAGCATCCTAGGAAGTCCTCGGGTTACGACAGTTCACTGAAGTTACCCTTTAAAAAAAGGAACTTGGGACTGTTTTTCACCTCCTGACAAGCAAAGTCAGTGGGGAAGCTGGATTTGATTGACAACTAGTTGTTGTTAACAACTTAACAACTGCAGTGATTCACTTAACAACGAATATAATATAATGGATTGGAATGGAATGGAATAGAACAGAATAGAACAGATCAGAACAGAATAGAAGAAATATAGAATAGAATAGAATAGAATAGAAGAGAAGAGAAGAGAAGAGAAGAGAAGAGAAGAGAAGAGAAGAGAAGAGAAGAGAAGAGAATATGGAATAGAATAGAAAATGGAATAGAATAGAATAGAATAGAATAGAATAGAATAGAATAGAATAGAATAGAATAGAATAGAATAGAAAATGGAATGGAATGGAATGGAATAGAGAGTAGAATAGAATAGGAATAGGAATAGACTAGACTAGACTAGACTAGACTAGAGTAGACTAGACTAGACTAGACTAGACTAGAATAGAATAGAATAGAATAGAATAGAATAGAATAGAATAATAAAAAATAAAATAGAATAGAATAGAATAGAATTAAGAAATTAGACTAGAATAGAATGGAATTAAAATAGAATAGAATAGAATAGAATAGAATAGAATAGAATAGAATAGAATAGAATTAAAGAAAGAATAGAATAGAATTAAGGAATTAGAATGGAATGGGAATAGAATAGAATAGAATAATAAAAAATAGAATAGAATAGAATAGAATAGAATTAGAATAGAACAGAATTAAGGAATTAGAATAGAATAGAATAGAATAGAATAGAATTAGAATAGAATAGAATAATAGAGGCAAACCATGGCTTTTAAGCAGGGTCCTGATCAGTGTTGAAATTTTTTTTGGGGGGGGGGAGGAGGAGGAACCCTGCAATTCTTGGCTTCCAGCCGTGCCGAGGTGGCTTTCCTGAGCCACCTCCTCCCCCCCACCCACCGCCCACCCGCCCAGCTTCTCCGCACTTGAGAAATAATGCAAGCTAATCCATCATTATGATTAGGGATGCCAGGTTTAAGTGGTTGCCTGGTCCTTGACAATTAAGTCTTAAGTGTTCCTTGTCTGCTTCAAATTCAAATTAGTGGGGCTGGATCAATATCGAGCAAGATACAAAACGGCATTTAAGACGGGCGCTGCGGCACCGCCGGACCCGGATTAGGCTCTTGAGGCTGGTCCCCCAGGGTCGGGGTCCTCGGCCTCCTCTGATTAGCTGAGTTTCTCCAGAAACCTCTTTGCCACAGTGGGGGTGCGGGGAGGAGAAGAAGATGAAGGAGATCAGCCGAGAGAATCAGAACCAGATTCAGAATAGAAGCTGGAAGGGACCTTGGAGATCTTCTAGTCCAGCCCCCTGCTCAAGCAGGAGAGCCTAGACCAGGGGTAGGCAACCTGGGCTCTTTTATGACTGGTGGACTTCAACTCCCAGGATTCCTGAGCCAGCCATGCTGAGGGGAAACGGAGAGGTTTCCAAGCTGAGCCAGGCTGGCTGAGGAATTCTGGGAGTTGAAGTCCACCAGTCATCAAGGGAGCCATAGTTCCCCTGTGCTGGCTCAGGAATTCTGGGAGTTGAAGTCCACGAGTCATCAAGGGGGCCATAGTTCCCCCATGCTGGCTCAGGAATTCTGGGAGTTGAAGTCCACGAGTCATCAAGGGGGCCATAGTTCCCCCATGCTGGCTCAGGAATTCTGGGAGTTGAAGTCCACGAGTCATCAAGGGGGCCATAGTTCCCCCATGCTGGCTCAGGAATTCTGGGAGTTGAAGTCCACGAGTCATCAAGGGAGCCATAGTTCCCCCATGCTGGCTCAGGAATTCTGGAAGTCCACGAGTCATAAAAGAGCCAAGGTTGGCTACCCCTGCCCTAGACCATTTCAGACAGGCAGCTGTCCAATCTTTTCTTCAAAACCTCCAGTGATGGAGCATCCACAACCTCTGGTGGCAAGCTGTTCCACTGGTTCATTATTCTCACTGTTCGTTTCTCAGTTCCAGGTTGCTTCTCTCCTTGATTAGTTTCCACCCATTGCTTCTTGTCCTGCCTTCAGGCGCTTTGGAGAAGAGGTGGAACCACCACCCCTCCTCTTCTCTGTGAGAGCCCCTCAAATATTGGAAGGTTGCTGTCCTGTCACCCCTGGTCCTTCTCTTCGTTAGACTCACAGGATCACAGAGTTGGGAGGTACCGTGGAGGTCATCTAGTCCAACCCCTTGCTTAAGCAGGAGACTGTTTTCCATTTCAGACAAAGGGCTGTCCAGTCTCTTCTTAAAAACTTCCAGTGTTGGAGAAGGGAGGGAGGGAAGGAAGGAAGGAAGGAAGGAATAACAGACTCAAAAGGGACCTTGGAGGTCATCTAGTCCAACCCCCTGCTCAGGCAGGAAACCCTATACCATTTCAGACAAGTGGCTGTCCAATCTCTTCTTAAAAACTACCAGTGTTGGAGAAGGGAGGGAGGGAGGGAAGGAAGGAAGGAAGGAAGGAAGAAAAAGAATAACAGAATAACAGACTCGTAAGGGACCTTGGAGGTCCTCTAGTCCAACCCCCTGCTCAGGCAGGAAACCCTACATACCATTTCAGACAAGTGGCTGTCCAGTCTCTTCTTCAAAACTTCCAGTGATGGAGCACTCACAACTTCTGGAGGCGAGGAGTTCCACCGATCAATTCTTCCTTAACTACTGACTCTCCTAACAGGCTTTCTGGGAAGGGATGGGTCCTGGACCAGACCAGCATCTTTGCCCAGGTGGATGCCTTTGTCCAACGCTGCAAGGACCTCCTGGAGGTAGGTCTGGTGACCATCTTAATGGTCCATGTTAGCTTCCAAGGGTTGACCTTCGGAACGATCTAGGCCTGCTCGCATCGTTGGTGTCCAGTTTTCTGCAGAGCAGGCCGGATTGAGGGATCTCCAGCCGGGTGGATAGCTCTCTGCTCCTGCCTCTTCTCCCATAATTCCCTGGGCAGGGGTGGACCCAACTGACTCCATGTCCAAGAGAGTCGATCCAAATAAAGGTGATGATCGTAGCCGCTTCCTTCTCCTGATAGGTCTGCGATAGCCAACAGCACTTTGCCCGCTGGGAAGACGGCAAGCAGACTCCACTGCCTTGTTTCTTCGGTCAACAAGGCCCTCAGATGGCCCGGAGCATGCTGGAGATCGAGGAGACCTTCAATAAATATCTCAACAACCTCCGGAACGTAAAAGGAGGGATTCTGGATGTGAAGAACACGACCTGGCACGAAGACTTCAACCGGTGAGAAAGGGTCCACTTGAATGAGAGAAGACGGGTCTTACTGTGGGGCTTGAGCGTGGGAAGGGAGGGAGAGCTCCATGGAGGTATGCAATGGAGGTCTACCAGGAGCTCCAGATGGCTTACAACAGGTTCTTCTCCCTTCTTCTTGTGCCGCCAGCTTCCGCGCAGGAGTCAAAGACCTGGAAGTCATGACCCAGAACTTGATGACTTCGGCCTTCGAGACGGTGAAGGATGTAGAGCACGGGGTGGAGATTCAAGACATCTTCCAACATCTGTCATCCCGAGAGGTAAACCTGTCTCCAAGAGTCTCCCTTGGCTGATCTGGGAAGATGGAGAGCTTCCAAGAATATATGTATCAGTACTAAAGTGACCTCTGGTCACTTTCTTAGCGGGCAGAAGAACGGCTTGGACCCGAGACGGTCTTTAAGCCTACTGAATGATGCTTGGAAGGGTTGAAACAACTTGACAACGGGTAGACTTCAACGAATTCAGAATTTGGGGAGTCGAAGACCACCCATCCTCACGTTGCCGGGCTTGAGCTTCGAATGTCTTAGCATAGCCTTTCCCAATGTGGACTTCAACTCCCAGCATTCCTTGCCTTAACTGTATTCTGGGATCTCGGAAGGGATCTTTGGTCCAGCTTGTTCCCGTTTCTACCACCACGTTCCTCACTTGTCTCTTGTGCTCACGTGCACGTCACCGCCGAGGAGGTCGGTTGCTTTTGTTGGACCAAAGATCCCTTCCGAGATCCCAGAATTCCCTTCCTGGTCAACCTAGCTAAGGCAAGGGATCCTGGGAGTTGAAGGGATCTTTGGTCCAACGAAAGCAACCGACCTCCTCGGTGTTGACGTGCACGTGAGCACAAGAGAGAAGTGAGGAACGCGGTGGTAGAAACGAGAACAAGCTTCTCAAACTTGAATAGCTTGAAGATGGGTGGACTTCAACTCCCAGAATTCCCCAGTGGGGGAATTCTGGGAGTTGAAGTCCACCCATCTTCAGGTTGCCCAGTCTCCAAAACACCAGGTTCAAGGAAGTCGGGGAGATGCAGGAGGACCTTACAACAGAAGAACGGAATGACAAGAGTTGGGAGGGACCTTGTCGGTCTTCCTCCACTCCCTTGACCCAACCGGTGTCTTCTCCTTCCTTCAGGCCATCAAGCGCACCTTCGACAAGAAGACCGTTGACGTTTTCATGCTCTTCAACCGGGAGCTCTCCCTGGTCAACAAGGAACTGAGCAAGAAGATTCCTTTCCTCCCGCCGTACATGTGCCATTACTCCGGCATGGCCCACTGGATGCGTGCGCTCCGCCGCCGTGTGGACAGACCCATGCAGGTAGGCCTTGACGGCTTCTAAGACTGGGCTGAAGGCATCTACCATGGGTTCTCGGCGTGGCTTCTCCTGAACTCCGGGCTCAATTGGGTGGAGACCCAAGACGACGGTGAAGGTATTTTACAGGCAGTCCTTGGCTTACGACGACCAAGGGGGACCAGCGTTCCCCTTGCTCAACAAGGGGCACGCCCGATCTTACGACTTTTTTTGCCACAGTACAGGTAGTTACAACAGTTGCAACTTACAACAGCTCCTAACCCCTAATAGCTCCTAACCACTAACAGCTCCTAACCCCTAACCCTAGCCTTAACCCTAACCCAAACCTAAACCTAAACCTAAACCTAAACCTAAACCTAAACCTAAACCTAAACCTAAACCTAAACTTAAACCTAAACCTAAACCTTAAACCTAACCATAACTGTAACCTTAACCCTAACCTTAAACCTAACTGTAACCGTAACCGTAACCCTAACCCTAACTTTAACCCTAAACCTAAACCTTAAACCTAACCTTAACTTTAACCCTAACCCTAACCCTAACCCTAACTTACAACAGCTCCTAACCCCTAACAGATCCTAACCCCTAACAGCTCCTAACCCCTAACCCCAGCCTTAAACCTAACCCTAACCCTAGCCTTAACCGTAACCGTAACCCTAACCCTAACCTAAACCTTAAACTTAACCCTAACCCTAACCCTAACCCTAGCCTTAACCGTAACCCTAACCCTAACCCTAACCTTAACCCTAACCGTAACCCTAACCCTAACCCTAACCCTAGCCTTAACCCTAACCCTAAACCTTAAACCTTAAACCTTAAACCTTAAACCTAACCCTAACCCTAACCTTAACCCTAGCCTTAACTGTAACCCTAAACCTAAACCTAAACCTAAACCTAAACCTAAACCTAGCCTTAACCCTAATCCTAGCTCTAGCCCTAAAGCAGAGGTCCCCAACCTTTCGGACACCAGGGACCGGTTCCGTGGAGAGAGGTTTTTCCGCGGACCGGAGGGTGCCTGGTTTTGTCTGCTGCCTGCATCCCACAGATGGGGCTTCGCTTGCTTGTGCCGACCGGTTGCTGGCATGCCATGGCCCGGTACCGGTCCACAGACCGGGGGGTTGGGGACCCCCGGCATAGAGTTTCCATATTTGCCAGGCAAGACTGCTTCTTATTCAGCAACTACACAACGGCCGGAGAAGATTTCGACGAGCGGGGATGAGTCTGCTCCCCTTTTCGTTGGCTGGTGCCCTCCCTGTCGTTCCCGGGAGGGCACGGGGCAGTGTGTGTGCCGCCACCCTCCCGCTCCCTCGCCCCTCGCCAGCTCTGACGAAGCGACCCCTCGCTAAGCGGGGCCTGCACGCGGCAACTGACTCAACCACGCTAGCGACAGCTGGTTTTTTTTCCGAAAACACTCCTTACTTTTTATCTTGGCACCGACAGTTGGCACCCGTTTTCTAGGTGGCATGTGTTGTTTTCTTCATTACGCCCACTCCACGGGGAGTTTATTTTGCAATTTCCTGCCGACCGAGCCAAGGAAAAGACTTGGGGAGTGGAACATGGGACTTCTGGGTGGGAGGCGGGAAGCGATGGGCTCCGGACGGCTTTGGCAGTCCCCGACCGGGTGCAGGAATGCCATGGGCATCGCCGTTAGGCTTTCGCACACGCAGCCCTGACCACCTTTTCCAGCTGCGTGGCCTCCGCGAGGAATTACGTATGACCGTGCGCTGGGTGACCGTTCCAAGTCACGACGGCGCTGAAAAAGGCGACTTACGGCTATTTTTTGATTACGACCGTCGCAGCATTCCCAGTTTTGTCACGTGATCAAAGACGCTCAGCAACTGACTCATATTTATGACGGCCGCAGCGTCCCGGGTGGGCTCACGTGGGTCCTCTTTTTGCGACCTTCCGACCAGCAAAGTCAACGGGGGAAGCCGGATCCACTTAACGACCGGGTGATTAACAACAGCAAGGATTCGCTTACCGAGAGTAGCAAGAAAGGTCGTAAGACGGGGCCAAACTCGCCGAACAACAGAAATTTTAGGCTGGAATCTGGTCGTAAATTGAGGACTCCCTGTTAATTTAGGCCGCCTTTCACATTCTGGCCTCTGCTGGTAAGAATTTGCGCGCAACATTTTTACCCACTTGGCAAGAAACTGCATTATCGGTAGGGCTCGGCTTCCGGCCACAGTGCAACCCAAAATGTCCGTTACTAAGCAAGACGGTCGTTAAGTGAGCCTTGCCCCATTTTACCACCTTTCTGGCCACGGTTGCTAAACGAATCCTTGTGGCTGCCAAGTTAGTGAACCCGGTTGTTAAGTGAATCCGGCTCCCCCCCCCATGGACTTTGCTAAAAGTGGATCACGGGAGACATTGCGACCTTCGTAAATACGAGTCAGTTGCCAAGCATCTCAATTTTGATCACCCGACCACGGGGAGGCTGCAACAATCGTCAGGGTGGGAAAACGGTCGTAGGCCCCTTTTTTCTGCACCGTTGTAACTCTGAGCGGTCGCTAAATGAACGGTCGTAAGCCGAGGACCGCCTGTGCATAAGAATCTAGTCAATTAACAGTGAACACTACATAGATAAGGATCGAGGGAATTTAAGGGAGGCTGGACACGGATCCCTTTGGGCAACGCAACGACTCTGCGCTGATGGCGGGTTTAAGCCCTGCCTGGCCCTGCTCTCCTACAGTCCCTTTCTCTTTCTCGTTGGCCAGTGTCTCACCAAAGCCCACTTTATCCCTCACATTGGGACCGGAGAGGAGAGCTTCCAGACCTACCAGCTTCTGGTGCAGGCCATGGATGAGATCGAGAGAAAGACCTTTCACGAGTGGACCCAAGGCTTGGACAAGGACAGCTTGAAGCGCCTGGACACCCCTCTGCTCATCCCGAGCGCCGAGATGCCGGGAATGCTGGACATCAATTTTGACAAGTGAGTGAGAGGCGGGGGAAGAACCGGAGAGGGCCTTGTTGCCCTGGGGTTCCACCACCGTCTCATGGGGCCTTCCTTCTTCTTTCTTCTTGTTCCTTCTTCTTTTTTCCTTCTTCCTTCCCCTTCTCCTTCGTCCTTTTCCTCCTCCTCCTCCTCCTTCTCTTCCTCCTCCTTCTCCTTCCTTCTCCTTCTTCCTTCTGCTTCTCCGCCTCCTCTTCCTCCTTCTTCCTTCTGCTTCCTTCTCCTCCTTCCTTCTCTTCCTCCTCCTTCTCCTTCCTTCTCCTCCTCCTCCTCCTTCCTTCTGCTTCTCCTCCTCCTCCTTCTTCCTTCTGCTTCCTTCTCCTCCTCCTCCTTCTTCCTTTTGTTTCCTTCTCCTCCTCCTCCTCCTTCTTCCTTCTGCTTCTCCTCCTCCTCCTTCCTTCTGCTTCCTTCTCCTCCTCCTCCTCCTCCTCCTCCTCCTTCCTTCTGCTTCTCCTCCTCCTTCTTCCTTCTGCTTCTCCTCCTTCTTCCTTCTGCTTCCTTC